GCAGCAAAAAGAAAAACAGAGGAAAAAAGAATGTCAGAAAAACATTGCCTCATCACTCGGCGATTAGCTGATTGTGCGTGGGTCCTAGAACGAATAGTAGCAATCTGTATTGTCTCGACACTCGTCTAACGTGGGACCGATCGAGGGGCGGGCACGCGAACTACGGCAACAACGGAGCTGCCACTATGCCCTGGACGTCGAGATTGGGGAAGTGAGAGGGACCCTTCTACAACCCATGGGGGCCGCTGAGTATCAATAAGGTAAGAACTCAATAACTTTTTTATCGTGAACGGTACCTTTAACAGATTTGTCTTCTAGAAGAAAAGCTGATTAAATCGCACCATCTCCCTTGATTCCTCATTTATGAATTTGGTCCCAACATACAAATGGATTCCACGATTCCCAATAGATGGTACATGGGCGATGCACTCCAACAAAATGATTGAGCAGACCAGTTCATGGCTTTATTCTGCTTATGACAGAGAAAGGAAACATGACTTGATAGCAAAGGGTAATCACTTATAGTTGCTCCCTATAATAGAATTTATTGGTGCTTTCAAACGCAACTGTAAAGAGTAGTTTTCTTGGCCTGAGTCGAACCTCTCTATCACCATCTCATTGACAGAAAATTTTTTTGATGAAAGACAACCGTTGCATTTCAAAGGCTTACTGTTCAAAAAAAATATTTCATCGCTGAAGTAAGGTTTGAAGTTAAATAATAAATGATGTATCATTCTCCCAAAGAGTGGTAAGTCTCATAGAAAAAGTTGTGAGACGTGAGCAAAAAGGATTTCGCCGGAATCAAGGTGACGACGGGAAAAGAAAAGGAGCTAACCGATGCACCGTTTTGGCAGAACGTGTGATTCAAACACTTCTACAAAATTTAAAGTGTGGTGAATGCGCGGCGCAGCTAAAAATGTAGAAACATTCTGCTTCTTGCTTTCGTTGAGGCCTCACGGAAAGAATACCAACAAAAAATAATGAAATACAGTAGGAACAAACGGAAGAATCAGAAAAACAAAAGGAAAATCTTGTTGTTGATAAAACTAACTCAAAACGTTTATCACACCATATCATACGAGTGTATGGTAGTGAGCAGAACGATTTGAAGGAGAAAGGGTGTAAAAATAAAAAGGAAAATAATGAAAATGATAATGCCAACCACGTGCATCGCGACAGGATTCTGCATGGTATTCGGGTAATCAATGATGGCTAACGTGGAAAACAGCTGCGATCGAGCGCTTTACCCAAATTTAGCTGGGGTCATGACCAGCACTAGCAACCGCTACAGGGACTAATCATTCATTGGGCATCGATTATGTGGCACCACACGGGTACCACATAATCGATGCTGCCCAATGAATGATTATTTCTTTTTTCGAGAGGAAACTATCTCTCAAAGAAGTGAAGAGCGCTCGAATTAAAAAAAATAGTTGATCACATTTGTAGTCCAGGAATTCAATGGAATCAGCTTTTCTTGGAGTACTTACGCAGTGGCTGAACCTACTGCATCGATTAAGTGTAAAAGGATGGCCAATCTTCCATTTCTTCAAGTTTTCTAACCAAAGACTTGTATACGAGTTACCAGGATAGAAGTATGGAGGCTTTAGCGAGATCTGCGTAATCTTCGAGTAACCATTGCGAATTAACTAATTGAGCAAACCAGTTATCGCCATTGGATTTTCGATTTTATGTTGGGGTCTCCCTTACAGCTTCATCCTTCACCTCAATCCGGTCTGTTCCGTTCATTGCCATGGAAGAAGATGACTGTGAAGTGACTCTGCGGTCTTCCTAGAGAGTCAAGGGGGCAATCAAGATAAGATCTGCTTATGAAAATGGGGATTGCTAACCACCTAGTTCTACTCTCTCACCACGAGTGATCCGAATCTCGTAAGAGTAAAAGAGATTCATGAATGCATGTTCACCGTCATGACCAGAATTGTTCAGAGAGAAAGAAGCTTTCGACGAGACTCACTACTGCTTCCTTTTCCCCTGAGTAAGTCTGTTCACAAATGTTGAAAGAAATAAATACAAATTCTATTGACTTACACATCTCCTAGGCGAAGACAGACGGTAACACTCTCGGAAAGGCGACCGTTCATATGAGCAAAAAAACATTCGTATTCCAAATTTTTATCCGTATATTGGGTTCTGCCGAGTAATTATAGCAAAAACATTAATTTCACAAAAGCAACAGTTGAAATAAAAAAAAAATCAGAGACCTTCGAGAATGATTCTATTGATAAATATTATGTTGAGCAAACATGAGTGAAAGTCACATGGGACCATTCATATACACGTAGGTTTAAGAAGTAGAAAAAGGAGGTGAAGCAAAGAGAATTTGGTCACGGAAATGCATGAACTCGAATTCATCAGTAGTACGTCGTGCTCCGTGATCTCTCGATCGATATGGCTGGAATTTGCGGGATCGATCGAGCTGATCGGGTGGTTGCGTTCGAAGGGTAGTGGGTCAGGTCCTGAAAACAGCACTTTGTCGTTGTAGACTAAATTCATTTAGTTTTGAATAGCAACTTAATTTTTTATAGAGCTTGGATTACAATGAGCGACAATGGCATGATATTGGAAAGCGTCGTTGTCATCTGCAGGTTACAAAGACGGAACCCGAACAGATTCCGCGTATCAGTCCTCTGGGAATAGGAACAGAGGAATAGGTAGCGCTGTCTGAGAAAGATCCTTTTGAAGATAAAATGGCTGACCCTTGATGTCTATATAGCCACTGTCCGCTTGGTTACCTTACAGATCTTTCGAGAAGAGCACTAAGCCTAGAGATGACTTTCTTGGACATCTAGTCTTGGGCATCACAGCTTTCAATAGCCTTGGAACAGTACCAATGTGGTGGAGAACAAGTGCCACGAAGCTGACGAAAAAAATTTCGGAAACAATCCCAAGAGATAACAATTGACTGAACCCGAAGCTTCCTAAATAGTAATCCAGGCCACCGAATAGATTTCATCCTCATCAAGAGGAACATGAAACCAAGTAGCAGCGAGCGGCTCCTGTACTAAGGGCGCGCTGCGGAGCAAGTGCCAGCCCGCTGACCTTAATGGTGCCAAGAGGCGCCATTGAGGTCAGAACGTGTAGAACGGGTGGCACTGCTTTACTTACTTACTTTATTACATGCTGTTGGCATGTTAACAACTTATATTATTAGAGGAGAAAAAAAACACGATAAAACAGTAGAAGCAACAACAAATGAACTACGGAGAACATAAATTAAGCTAATGAACGGAACGCAGATAATGAGATACCTTGTTTTTGAATGTAGAAAAGAATATTGGTATTGGAATTAGTTTACTCATTTTCAAATACTCCATGCCTGCACGAAATGTGAAGAACCTGCGCCCCACCGAAGAACGCGGCTGACGAAAAGTGAGCTTGAACCTCTCGCCCCTTGTTTTGGATTGAGTCAAAGTATAAAAGTTACGACTGTCAAGATCGATTCGATTAGTCAAAATTTTATACACCATGAGTATGTCATTCCTCCTAAGTCTTAGTTGTAAGGGGTCAAGACCGAGTATCTTATTTCTAACCACTCCTCGAGGGATGCTTCTGTACGTGAACCCTAGTGCTCTGATGAACAATTTCCTAGTAAAGTTGTTCTGTATCTTCTCTAGTTTGTTTAACAGCGTTTTTGTGTGAGGATGGTAGATGGAAGTACCGTATTCCAATACAGAACGCACATAGATTTTGTATGCCTTTGTAAGTGAAATGGGATTCTTAGTTTTTAGTGACCTAAATAGTAGGAAAACTCTTTGATCAGCTTTGGCCAAGATACCTTTCAAGTGCTCCTCAAAACATAATTTTGAATTGATAGTGAACCCCAAATCTTTAACCGTGTCGGCAGCCGCAAGGATACGATCATGTATGCAGTAATGGATTTTAGGATTTGTTTCACCACTTTCACCATTTGCTTCGAGTTGCTTCAGTCGCGCTCCATCTACGAAGCACGCGCTAAAGCCTAATAGTGGTAATAACAGGTGTGAATTCCTCGTTATCACGACTGCTTTAGTCGCGTGGAGGCCTAGGCGTTTCAATCGATCTCTCGAATTCGGAGTGAGCAAGTTTAGGAATTCTCATTTCGTCTCTACCCTCATTCCTCTTCCTTCGAAGTGGGTTCAAAACATGACATATAACCAAACCTGTCGAAGAGGCGGTCGCCGTTGTGGGTGCCCCGTGAATATGCTGTGTGAGACGATTTCCGATGGACTACTGATTCGCTCCGTGCTATTACTACTACAGTCCTTACTTCGGGATGAGCGGAACAGGATTGCCTGAAATAAGGGAAATGAGGAATTCTGTCACGTATTAAGTTGAATAGGCTGCCGATTAACTGCAGCATATCTTCCAAATGAATGGAATTCACTGTGAAAAGACACTCACGCATGTCGCACATAGGCCAATGACGACTACTCCAGCGAAGATGAGCGCAGCCGAAAGAAGAACTGGAAACACAATGTTAAAATGAAGCGATGATTGCACTATTCTGGAGGATATAATGGTTAGTGTATTCATTTGGAGTTCATACTGTTCCCGTTACTTTTTTCTCGTTGAACTGTGGATAAAAACGAAAACGAGATAATTTGTAAGTCTCACTCCAGAAGATCGTCTTCGCCGCGCTGGAAGGTGAATGCTCAGCTACCTGATGAGCAAACCATGTGTGGGGTTCAGCTCGATAGAAATAACCATTCAGGTGTAATTCAAGTCCCGATGTCACCTGAAACTGGAGGCTATCGAATGTTGTTTTCAGCAGGAATTTCACCCATTGATAAGGACGAGAGCTTCTATTTGATAAGTCATTGCTCTACAACTCCTCACACTAAATATAACGCAAACCAATCAGTCCGTGCAACATTCTCTATATAACAGCGGATTCTGCGGCTGCTCACTATCAGCGCTTAGGAGGAGACGAAGGTATCTAGTTCTTAATAAGTAACAGTAGCAACCGTGGTAGGAGGGCAGCTCTAGCTCTTTTTCAAGCCTCTAAAAGGATTCTCGAGGAACCTCCATCATTCATTTCATGATTAGAACTGGTTTTGTGACCTTATAAAGAGGCGCTATAACAAAAAAAAAATTCATTTGGCAAGACTTGGGACAACGTGACGAGTAAGCAGAAAAGGCAAAAAGCCTGCCGATGGTGGGCGTATGCCAACAAAAGGGAAATACCGCCAGTTTTAGACATTTTCATCTGGGTTCCAGACAGAGGCTATTTCTCATATCGCTTGATTTTTCATATGCTGTCAAGATTGTTTCTGATCGAGAATTCAAAACCAAAGGAAGTATTACTCCAGGTGATGAAAATTCCTTCTTTACCAGAAAGAGCTCCCAACAGTAGGAGATGCAGTCAGGTTTGGCAGTTACTAGGATCTCGCTCGGACAAGTAGCCATCAGAAATCGGAACGCACAAGTCCTGAGAGCAAGAATGAGGAATTTCGTTCACTAGAGCTTTATTGAAATTCTCACCAGCAGTTAGGCATGAAGGGGGGAAATGCCGGTCCAGTTTAGGAAGCTTCCAGGTAGTCCAGTGGTGCAATGGTTCTAGTGAATAATTGGTCAGCTTCTCCGTACACTGCGGAATGCGGAATCGCTATGGTAATAATGAGCAATACCTTGCTAATGCAACAGAAGGCTTCGATTTAGTTCACTTCTGTTTTTCAGAGGTGCTCCATGTGTCTGCCGTCTATACTCCCACCAGTTATACTCATGCACGTACGCGTACTACGATCCCACTTAGGGAAAACATAAAAGCATATCTCATGCTCCGTACCTCGCAACCCTACACTGCATGACTTCATTCGAAAATCCGTCTAGAATCCATAAAAAGGACTCCCTCGAAAGCGCAGCCATCATGAACATTTACATTCAAATTTACGCTTGAATATAATTTTAAAAAACTGCGGCTTAGAGATGTAATGGAGAACAGTGAGCGGAGTATTTGATGAGGTGTGATGCTAACTGATGCCAATGTGATAGTTTCCCTCCTGATTTCTTTTCTGAAGATTTGATCAGCCAGTGATTTGAAAGAATCAAATTTGGTTTATCCTGCGACAAAAGGCAGGGATGCTGTAATTCCCTGCCAAAATAATACGTATTGAGGGATCAGCCAATTTGGTTCTAACAATATCAGCAGAACTCCTACTTCATAAGACCTTCCTCACCGCTCACTGCATTCACACTCTATGTGACTTTTTGGCGACTGACACACAAAACAACATACAACAACCAAAATTAGCGATTTATATGCAAAGGACACATTCATGCATTTTCGACAGCTTTTGCATGCACTAATGTCCAGCACTCACCGCTTCTGAAATGCTCTTCGCAATTCGACTTGCATGAGGATCTTTGATAGTGAAACGAGCAGTGTTGTCGTCCAAGATGATCACGTCGTCGATAGATGACTTTGAAAGAGAAAATCGTTGCGAAAGGAACTCAGCCAATCCTCTGAAATAAAGCCTTTCAATAAACTATTGTAACTACCCAATCGATATTTTAACAGAAATTCTCGTTCTGCTATCATGTTTCGATCAATATTGTTTGAGATTTTTTTATCAAAAAGAAACAGACTACGGACTATCTTCTAGCATGACGATTGCTGATTGTCGAACTACATTACAAGGACCAGGTCTTTTGTTTTATAGATCCCGTTTTTGGTGAGTGTCGCGCTTTTAACTTCTATTCATAATGATTAACGGTGTTCACTTAATTCTTCAAATCGGTGCTTTTATCCTTATTCGGTAAGGAGAACGAGAGGGGGGGGGGGGGGGGGGGGGGGGGG